TTCATATTATTATCACTATACCTTTTTCATACACGTAGTCTTACAAAAACATCTGATTACATAAATTAAAATAATCTGCATTTAGGCTAGGCCTTTATGTTATCTTTGGTGCTTCACAATCCTTTCAGCAATGATGTGTTTTCACCTTAAAAATAATATACCTTAAATTATATTCTAACTACCTTTTCAGTTTAAAAATCTGCCAACTTTTCTGCACAAGAACTATGACTGGTAGAATGTACGTATGACATTTCTCAACATGTTTTTGACTTCTATATTAGATTCAAATTCAATATTGCACAGGCAACCAAGCTGTTATGAAAAGTGTATGTGTCAATGTAATATCTGTTGCATGGACATTGATAACAAATAATGACTAATGTTACTGTAAATTTTGATGACATAATTCTGTATTTTTCTTTGCTTTCATCACACAAAATTTATTATGAAGACTTCTGCTTGCATTTGTTTGATATGCATTTATCAGAACATGTCTTATAAGGTCTAGTAATTTTTAATGGTAAGACATATTATATTCACTGTTAATTTCACCAGTTAAGACTATGGATTATTTTTTTTCTGGTGATTGTTATGTGAATAGAATGCATTCAAATGTTTATAGGGTGGGATCTTCAGTTGTCACTTGTTTTCACCTCAGACTTTTTCCCCCTGAGCACAGTGTAAGTTATTAAATAAATTCTTCAAACACTCAATAACCATTTCCTAGCAACAGGATATTAAAGTAGCTTATCAGCTACTAAAGCTTTTATACAAACTGGTCTGTGGCCACACTTGTGAACTGGATCTCCAACTACCTTGATTCTCTGTAGAATATATAGCCATATCCCAAAACCACTAAGCAAATTGGAAAACCCTCTTAAGCTCTTAGCATGAAGTGGACTGAAAGACATCTGTTGGTCAATATTAAGGCAGATGTGGAGAATGCAGCAACGAAAATTTTGGGCTAAACACTTCACTTACAATACTTACTTATAAATACAAAATAAATTGGGAGTTACTCTCCAAGGATCAAAATACAGGTAGCTGGCTCTTTTATTTATTCCTCAACCAGACATGCTCCTGATGCTTTTACTGGGCATTGACCTGAATCAGAAGTGAAAAGGAGCTCAGCTTTTGAGCAGTAAGAAGCTCTGAGCTAAATTCACAGAAATATTATAGACAAATAGCTTATCCTTGTACTTAGTTGCCTGCTAGTTTTTATTTTCATTTTTTATGGGTTAAAAGCTTTGCAGAAAAATGCTTCCACAGCTTCTTCACACCTACTCTTTCTTTTTACCAAACATATTCTGAAAAGTAAAACCCTTTTTATTTATACTTCTATAAAATGTCATTATTATAATTTCCTGTGCTCTGACAGTTTGTTAGGTACTGAAAGAAACATAAAAGAAGGTATCAGTGCTGTCTCAGATGATGTCTTCCACTCCCCACTATGTAACCCATGTTCCTACTGGGGAGCAAACTCAGATTACTTCTTCAGTGGGATAAGTTGGAAAAGGACTATCTACCATAGGCAAAGAATACAAGATACGGTCTTGTATTATATTGTTTTGCTCTAGTGGAGAAAGTCTGAAATACTTTTAATACCTGAATGATGGTAGTACATGAGCTTTCATGGAAAGGGACTCAGGAAGTCCTGAACAGAAAATGGGAGACAGTGAGAGATAAGACACAGAACAAGGAAAAGAGGAGTTTTTAAATGGCTGCAGGGGTGGACTAGGGGCCAGCAAATGAAGAAATTAAAAGCGAGACATTTGTCAAGGACAAAATATCTCAGTGGAAAAGAGTGACTATTAGAAGGCAGTGAAAGGTGATGGATGACAAAAATTGGCAGAACACTACCATTTGAATGAAGATCTTTCTTCAGGGAAAATACTAAGACATGTAGGAATGCGTTTCACATTGAAATGGTTCACCAATAAGATAAAAACCAGTTAAATAAGTTTGGGAACACAGTGGGATTGAGGGACAGAAGTAGCATATAATTAGAGGATAAAGAGCAGACAGGACACTGGAGAGAAAAAAAAAATGAAAAAAAAAGTAAAATGACTGAGGATAAGAAGCAAAGAATAGAGTGGAATGGAGAAATTTACAAAGTGACCAGCAGAGAAGAGAGGAAAGAAAAATCTGAAAGTAGATTCTAAGCAAAAATAGGTAACATGCAAAGCTTGCTTACTTTTTCTGTTTCAACACAAAGTGATAATTTTTATAGGCTTGAAATGAAATGTTTAGGCACATCCAGTACTTTAATTTGAAACTAAATGTGAAAGTTTTTCATGTCGCTGAGTAAAGACATATCTTTCAGCCTAAAAACATTGTGCTGATGCTCTATCATTGTTCTCCTTCTGACTCTCTTTATGAATTTAATAACGTCAAGTTCAAAATTATATCATAATACAAATCTCAAATTATATTGTTGCTACAATATGCCTGAAAAGAGACACCCACATTAACATTATGACTGTAAGAAAGACTTAGTAACTCATTCTTGTTGATCTATCAGCTAGATAGTTAGCACATTAATACTGATGAGTTAAGGAGTATATTAATAAATTTTGGACTGTGCACAACAGTTACATGCCCAGCCATGTAAAATTTTTGAGCAAAGACACATAAATTTGTAAATTTGCTAGACGTTTTGTTTCATTAGTTCTTCTGCTCATAGAAAAAATGTTGGAAGTTGGATTGCTAAAATGCTAGAATATTTTAGAGTGTGCTTCATAGAAGGTAGGTTGTATGAAATGCCTAAAATCCTAATGTCTCAAGAAGGCATAGATAAGGCAAAGAGCTTTGATAAATTTACTACCAAGATATGCACATTGTAGCACATAGGTAAATAAATTAATAGGAAATTGGGGAAAAAAGTCTCTTAAAAGGCATCAAATCATACTACCTAAGCTGACCATCACTTCCATTGAAATTTGCATGCATAAACAATGACAAAGAGAAAATAATGACCTTGCAGTTCATCAGTACCACTGAGTGATAATTAGATTTCTATGTTATTTCATCTTTTCCAATTGCTTGCTGTACAACTCTTAACAATTAATTTAATTAGTCTATTTTTGCATTGAGAGAATTTAGGTAATTATACTAACTTAACAACCTTCCCAGAGTGGGAGGATTCATTTCTTCTATTAATTTTGGTTTAGATTTAGAGCATAACATCTTCACTGCTGATCACCTTTGGAGGTATGCTCTATATGGATCAAGCTGATGAAATCATAGCTGAGGCATTCTATAATTCTAGGTAATATTCAAAATGGTTTAAGATACAAGTACAAAAAGATTTGGCTCCATTCAGGAAATACTCAGAAAACTGTATAAATAGATTTGTATGAATATTTATATCTATTCCACATGCTTAACCCTGGTGTTTCAATAAACTTTAAATGCCTGTCTTCCATGTTCTCTGATGTTTTCTAAACAGTCTGTGCTTTTCAGCATTGAAGCCTTGCTTATTTTGTTTCCCTGTTGACTTTATTTTCCTGTGTCATTTACAAGAGCCTCTTTTAATCACTTTAAAAATGTTCAAATAACCAGCTTCCATGGCTGGCTTACCAATATGTAGGAAGCCAGAACTAGAGGGGGTACTATGCTGTAATCTTTCCTATTACTATCTGTAATCTTTGTAATTCCTATTCCTCAGTTTTTTGGATAACAAAAGCAAGACTGGTTTTCAAATATGATAAGCATTTGTAGCTTCAGTGAACAGGGAGTAGTAGCTCTCCTTATTAACTGAAGACACCCCAAAATGAAGTTCACAAAATTCAGTGATCTCAGGAACTTGCTTTGAAAGGGGCAGCACAGTAAGCTATAACATACCCCTGGAATGAGGGGGACCCCTTCTACAGCTTGTATCAGAATTCGTATATGTTCTATGATGGCAGATGAATTGGCACATGTTCTGATGGTCTTAATGTGATTTTAATGCTTTCTAAAGGATCTGCTTTTATCAAAGATTTCTAAAGAATTCCCATCTCTTCCTCATTTTCATAGAATCATAGAATTATAGACTGGTTAGAGTTGGAAGGAACCTTAAAGATCACCAAGTTCCAACCCTCCTGCCATGGGCAGGGACATCTCCCACTAGAACAGGTTGCTTAAAGCCCAATCCAGCCTGGCCTTGAACACTTTCAGGGATGGGTCAGCCACAACTTTTCTGGGCAACCTTTTCCAGTGTCTCACCACCCTCACAGTAAAGAATTTCTTTTTAGTATCTAATATAAATATCCCCTCTTTCAGTTTAAAACCATTACCCCCTGTCCTATCGTTACACTCCCTCATAAAGGGTCCCTCCCCATCTCTCCTCCATTTTCCTTATTTCCTGAACTTTAGAGGGGCTTAGACAATGTTTTTCTCTTGAGAATGTATTTATTCATATATTATAATGCCTGAAGTGGTTTGCTACGATGCAAGCAGCATGGAAGACTCATTTCCCTGGAACTGAGCTCAACCTGTTCCCCAGGTTGCATCCTTTGCAGATCCGTCTCCTCACAGTCCTAAACTGAGGGTTTAACCTTCAGTACAGATTAAGGTTTCTATCTCTTTTCAATAAAAGTTGCCATTTATCTTTCTTAATTTTTATCTTCTTTACTTTCATACATAATATAAGCAGAGATTTCAAAAGCTGTTCCATTCCTCAAAACCCACTTTCTTTAATACCCATATTCTTAAATCAACACTATTGTCTTTCTTTTTCATGCTACTTTCTGAATGCCATAGATATATTTGTATTCTCCCTGCAAACATTCTTCTTCTAGACCTTTAGATAGCCTAAAAATAATTACTCTTGCACAGACCAATGAAAATAATTCTGGCCCATCCAAGCTGGCAGCACCATAGTCAGATGCAGAATTTGCATTGCAACCATCTTTTTCTTTGACAGACTCAAAAGTCTATTTGAAAGAAGTTTTCTTGTGCAAGAAAACAAAGAGTAGTAATCTTGACATAAGAAGCTTTGAAAGAAATTCTGAACTTACCTGCAATGTACTACCATAGGACCAGCATCAGGTGGGTTGCAGGTCTTGACTCGTCTCAGGAAAGCTAAGAATGGTGTTGGGTGTTCTGGGACACCATGGTCAGGCCAGGCAGTGAACTGGAATTGCCTCACTTCCCTTTTTTCACTTGAACCATTCTATGAAATTAAAAAACCTCATGACAAAACTGACACTAACATGATATTGGCACTTTTCAATGAAATAACTGCAGAAAGCATACATACCAGTGAAGTGCATTTAAATCACATTTCAGGCCAGAGATAAATATGGAGGGAAATGTTTCTTATATTCTAAATTGCAGGATTCAAAGTAAGAGATTTAACTATATCACACAGTAATACATCACAACAAGTGCCAGAGCTTCAGCTAGTATTTAATTCAGTTAAATGGCTTTTCATAGCAAGAGCTCTGTATTAACTTACAAAACTCCATGCTGTAAGAAAAACACTGTCTGTAGAAGTCTCATTATTCAGTGCTGATAGGAGGAAACAAGGGAGAAAAGTTGAAGGAAGGAAAGACAAGACAGGGAGGGAGGAAACAATGGAGAAAGACAGTCGGGGAAAGCAGGAAGCAGAAGAAAGGGCAGCAGGAGGGAGACAGTGATAGGAAGGAAGGCTGGCAGGAAGGTGGGAAAGGGAAAGGGAAAGGGAAAGGGAAAGGGAAAGGGAAAGGGAAAGAGGTGTGTGTGTGGGGAAGGTGGGAAGGGAGAGGAGGGGACACGGAAGGGGAGGGAGAGAAAAGGAAAAGGAAAGGGTAAAAGTTGCCTACACTGAAATTTTAAAGTATAGTGTAAGTATATGTAAGTATATATACCTTGTAAAGTGCAAATGTACGAACACAGTATGTTGCCAATTCAACAGTGTCTAAAAGGGTCACTTGGATTAGTCCGTAAGTTTCTGTGCCTCTGCTTGGCCAGTACTGATCACACTTCACCTGTAGTGAAAAATATGTAATTAATGCATTTTAAATTGACATTTATTACATATCTGAGTGCATATCACTATAGGTTTTTTAAGTATGTGATGTTAGAATGTTCAACAACTGCTAAGCATCCAACACAAGAATATTTTTTTTTTATCATTCACAAGAATAGCTCTTCTGGTAGTAGCTCTTACAATATCTTCTGCCATAATGGGTATTTGTAAATACAGTGGGGCGGATAATTAATAAATACCAATAAGTACTAGTATTATATAAGCACTATGAGATATACTAAAGAAAAAACAATTTATAGTAGCTAAAAATATGGCCTATATCTTCAGTAACTCACAGAATCACAGAATTATATGAGGTTAGAAGGGACCTTTGGAGATCATCTAGTCCAATCGCCCTGACAAAGCAGGTCCACCCAGAGCAGGTTGCACAGAAACTTGTCCAGGTGGGTTTTGAACGTCTCCAGGGATGGAGACTCCACCACCTCTCTGGACAGCCTGTCCCAGTGCTCTGCCACCCTCAAAGTGAAGAAATTCCTCCTCATGTTTAGATGGAACTTCTTATGTTCAACTTTGTGCCCATTTCCTCTTGTCCTGTCACTGGGCACCACTGAAAAAAGACTGGCCCCTTCCTTTTGACACCCACCCTTTAAGTATTTATAGGTGCTGATCAGATGCCCATCAGTCTTCTCTTCTCCAGACTAAAAAGACCCAAGTCCCCCAGCCTTTCCACGCAACAGAGATGCTCCAGGCCCCTAATCATCTCTGTAGCCCTCTGCTGTAGCCTCTCCAGGAGCTCCCTGTCTTTCTTGAACAGGGGAGCCTTGAGCTGGACATAGTACTCCAGGTACGGCCTCAGCAGGCCAGAGCAGAGGGGGAGGATAACCTCCCTTGACCTGCTGAAACTCACCTTTCACAGTCCAGAATTTAGTAACAGTACTAAGCCAGTAAAAGTAGACTGAATTTTTTTTTGAATAGTTGCCATATTTTACCTATTTCACATAATTCCCCAAACATGTAAGCTGTTGCTTGGATATGAATATTTAATATGTATATAAATATATCAGTAAAAACTGATCTTTTGAGAAATCAATTTAATACACAGATAAATGAAATTTTCTTCTCAGACAAATGTCATTAAGCATATGATGAAATGGCGTTCACAGGTGGTTTGATAGAAGGAGTTATTCCATCAAAATTTGAAACACAGAAGGCATTTCATTCAGAGAAACCTCCATTACAAAACACATATTCAAAACAAATATTCTAATAATCAGAACTTTTATGACCTGAAATAATTATGTATAAGATGATGCATAAGAAAAGCATATGTTTGCCATCATTGCTCAGACTTAATAATTTGTTTCAGGTAAAAATCACATTTAAGATGAAAGCTATTGTGAGAAAAGCAATGTTGAACCCTAAAACAATCAGAAAACATGGTACAAAGCACTGTACGGCTTAAATAATTGAAAGTATTTTGCTTTCAGTGACTTATAGATGAAACGGAGACAGTCTCCATTCTGTTTATAACAGTACATTCTTATCAATTAGTCTTGCATACAGCACAGAAGTGTATTCTGATTCCAGTAATAATACATTGCATTTGTTTAATAAATGTCTTCATTAATCACTCCAATCTGGATTCATACCAAATTCAGTGAGAATACACAAACTGTAAGAAACCACAAAAGCAGAATATTGCATAGTATTTCTGATAAGCATGTAAATGATCAAGATAATCCAAAAGAAAACCTGTGATTTCCCCCAAAATGGAAAAACTAAGAAATGCATCTTTGAAACTTGTGTTCTCCAGATTTCTCACTCTGCATAATATTACTGAAACAGACTTAATATACTTTCAAACTGCCCAGGCCCAAATAGTTTTGTTTGCAGATCATTTTATTTTCAGGCTTACAGGTCACAGATCACTAATGGTTCACAAATCACAATCTGAGAACAAGTAACCTAGATAGGTGAAAAAATTCTAAACACTGAAGCAGGTGATGAAAGTTCATTAGAGGCAAAAAAGAAAGAAAAAACTTTTTACAGGAATTGATAGCTTAATTTATAGATAAGGAATTGGAACAAAGTAACTAAAAATGTTTATCAATACTACAGTCCTAAACAAGGGATTAATAGGGTATAATATTTAATTTAATTATTAAGAGGAATTAAAAAATTACTTCCTTGTGCCATTTACTGAAATACTTAAGAAGTAAGTATTGCAGGTACTTAATGCTTATTGGCGAGTCATTTGCAAGATTCCTAATCCTACAAGAAGCCACTGTGGTCTTCTGCAAATAAGACAGAAAGGTATATTTTCAACTGAGTTGTTTCAATATAATTTGTAAATCTAGTTTCACTTTATCATTAAAATAGACACAGTGTAGCTTATGCCTATACTGCTTAGCTGTATTTTAGACAAACAAGTTCTGGTTTATTATTTACTAATTATTAATTCCCATAGAATGACATTTTTTCATGGAAAATGTTGATACATAATAGCTGTTTGTAATTTTAGCAATTTCAGATTTAGTATAAACCTCTGAAAAAACCTGTTTTGAATGATTTTTGAAAAACAAAAACAATAAAAATGATAGAATACTTTATGTACTCTTAATAAAATGAATACAAGAAATAAATTTCTGGCTATGCCTTTGCATGCCTAAGCATGTAGTTCTCCTCTTTACTCTGTAGTTCCCACACATATAAATTGCATGCCCATAGAAGCAGTACCAGCTTCTAGAAAGCACGCCTGAAAAATTAACCAGCTTTCTCACTAGCAAGGCTGTATAAAAAAAATTGCCAAGTGTAATAGAGAGAAATGAATGTCCAACAGAAGAACTAAATGGAAATTCAGAACATAGTAAGTTACCAGCATCTTTGCAAACAACAGAAATTACTAATTTTATTTTTATTTTGTACAGTAATAACAGTATATGTTACAGTATATGTTAAGCATATACTCAGGCTTAGAAGCCTGTAGAAAATTGCTCCTTTTAGTTAAGCTGGGAGAAAATAAAGGTGCCTGCTTTTTTAGGTGTACATTTTAGTTTGGTGGGTGTTTTTTTTTTTTTTTTTTTTTTTTTTTTTTTTTTTTTTTTTTTTTTTACATTTATTATTTTATCTAACATAAACTCCAATCATTTTCTGTTTTTCAAAAATACGTTCTGTGAGAGCTAACTGATGCAGAAGACTGCTGCTGGAAGCAGCAGACCCAACTGTTCAAAAATAAATACAATTTGTAGACCAGTGTATATATTATTTGAAAGTGGAAACTGATGAAAATATGTATCAAATTTTTAGAAAGAAAACCTGATTTTGAACTGATGTAGATTTCACCTTCTGGAGGAACACATGAAGCAGTAGTTGATGGAACTGCATCTTTTATTCCTTTTGCCTCTTGATTTTTCTCAGAACAAGAGGTCTCCTTCAGAGATGTGCCCTTACCTGCCTCCTACACTCTTTTGCTCTGTGATCATAAACCTTACATCCCCAATGCTCCTAACAATTTAGAGTCCAATTTATCTTTGTGAGAGATCAGAACAGTTTTCTATAGAACTCCACCAGCAGCAGAGAATCAAATAATATAAGTTAATTGTGAAGACACTATTTTCTGAGACAGAGTTCGTGATAAATGTTTTATCATATGTTAAGACCCTAGCCTTCAGCACTTAAAGTAAGTTTATTCTTCAGAGGCTACATATTAGTATTTTTTCAGAAAAAAATTCTCAAACCCCTTGAGTCATCCAAAATTTAAATGTCAACAAGTCAATTTAAAATTATTTGCCAAATGTGTTTTTGCTTTAGCTCTTTGGTCTGTGTTTAATTTCCCTGTAGTAGGGGCAATTTCTTCCTCACTTGTGCATGTTGTTTGGAAAACAGACAACTTTAATGTGGTAAGGTATAGTGATAATAACGTGTCCTCCTTTGGAAAGAAAATTCCAAGTTTTATTTATTTTCAGAGTTAGTTCGTAATAAATCTTTTGTGAATTTCATATTCCTCACCTTCCTTTTACCAACCCAGCTCCTAGTTCCTAGTGGATCTTTTCCTCGTCAGCCTATATTCACATGCACCCAATAAGAGCTTTCCTGTGCCAGCAATTATACATGGTTACAGAAAACAGCTTTCACTGTCTAATGATCATAGGTTGTACACTGCCAAACCCACTATATTTAAGATTAGAGCAGCTCTCAAAAGACTAGTAAATATATTATGAATCTTTTTAGTACCATAGTAGTAGACATAGCTACAAGACATAACTAACGATAAGCACATTCTCTTAACCTGCCCCTCAAACATACACACATTTTCTTTCTCTGTATTTCTTCCACTTAAACCATGCGAATCCTTGCTGTTTATGGAAGTATGAGCATTCACTGAAAGCGAAGTTGTAAGAAAATATAGATGCTTTCTTTTCCATTAAAAATGAGAAGCTTAAGACCATTTCAGACCTGAGGAGTTTTAAGTAGCTACGGAGTTCCTACGAATATTCGTGAATATTCACACTTCAACAAGTCACAGACACTAGAAAAGGCAGTGCAATGCATCAGCAGAGCTGAAGGAAGCATATTTCCATATCAACATATGAATGCAAAGTTTCCTGACATTCAAGGGTAGAGAAATAATTTTCCAGTACAAAGTTCCATCACTGAGGCTGAAAAGCCCCTTCAGGTGATTCGTAACACATGAGGCAGCTGTTACAGGTCATCTGAGATTATCAGGACAAAACGCAGATCAGGAAAGAAAGAGAAAACTGGTAGTAGGCAGATTCATATAGCACATTCCTTGCTGTAAGAACAGCATACGAATTATGCTGAATGTGGAATCTGAAATAACAGCACTATCAAACAACTTCTTGCTCTGGTTTTCTTAGTAGTAATAGTCTTCTGAAGACAAAACTTTCTAACATTTTTCAGGTGGTCTTCCTTTAAAAAGAAAGTCTATCTACAATGATGTTGAATGATAATAATACTTATGCAATAAAAAAAGGTAGT